TCAAACCTATCCCAAAGCGCCGGTCTTTCCTGGAAGCGGCGGGAGAAGCGACCACAAAGGCAACAGTCCTCCAGCCCTGCACCTCTTCCGCTTTAGCCAGAAGCTTGGCAGCCGTTCCCTCTACCCCGGGCGCCCAGAGGCATCCATTTGTTTAAAGACTTCTAGACACTTCCTCCCCTCCTTCCCGCAGCATCTACAGCTCCAGCAGGAACCTGGGCTTCCGGGTTCTTGGGGTCCTCTCCTCCCCCACACGCCAGCGAATCCAGCCGCCAGTGAGCTCCGGGATTGGGGCTCGGTCCTCGGCCAGTATTTTCACTCTAATGCGCGCTCACGCTTTCCTGCGACTCTACAGGGCATCGCACCAGGGAGCCGAACTCCTCTCGGGTCTACCCCGGCTGCCCGTTTGCCCTCCAGTCCATCGAGCCGGGCCTGACCTGACCGCAACAGCTGCACTCATACCGAAGCCTCCACGCTCATGGGTTTGATTGCAGGCTAGGCCGCAGATCTGGCTTGGCCGGGCGTAGACTCTGCCGCGCCGGCCTCTCGGCTCAATCCTGAGAGGCAAGATCGCCGGGCGTGGGGATATCGGGAGGCGAGACAACCTCTCACAGTCAGTTCGGACTGTGGGAACCGGCTGCCTGAGGCAGAGTCTACCGGAGGCCGCTGGAACAGCGTAATAAAATAGTATTGCCGGAGCTCCTATCTAGAGAGATCCCGGAAGGTTTAGGCAAGATTTTAAGAATGCTGCTAAATATTTGCCCTCAGGGGCTACAAAGGAAGGGGGAGGGGGCTTCTTTTCCCGTAAAAATCTCCTCTGAAATGAATCATTGCTCAGAATACCTTTCCTTACAGCGCGAATCTACATGATGCCCATGCGTGTGCATCGACTGTGCATCCTTAAATTATCCCATTGCCTTCGCGTTTGCACAAAACCTACTTTAGAAGACAGATTGGGCCAGGATGAGTAGTGTGCAGGGTGGACCGCTGGGCTGGGGGCAGAGAGGTTTGGCTGGAACAGCTACTTTAAATTGGGCAGATACGAGCTCCTCAGTTAACTGTATTCTCTGGGCAGAGGTGCTTCTGGCTTCGGGTGGAGAAAATTGGAGGAAAACTGGAATGGATCGAGATTTTTCAGGATGGAAACTCATCAAGATGGAGTCTTTGTCGCTCCTCCTCTGTACCCTCCCCCGGGTCCAGGCGGGAAAGGGGGAGGAGTGGAGGCCCACAGGAAGGAGTTCAGGGGTCGCGCAGAGAAGGGGGTGCCGGGCCTGAGGCGCTGAAGAAAAAGGTTTCTGGAAATCTTTCTGTTTTTGTTTTGTTTTGTTTTGTTTTTGTTTTTGTTTTTCCAAATTGGAAGAGAAATTGAGGGAGGGTGGTGAGGCCAAGGCGTACCGCGGCTCCCGCGCGCTAATGTATGTCTCTGCATTGCCTTCACTAGGGGAGAAGCCCTTCAGGTGTGAGTTCGAAGGCTGCGAGCGGCGCTTCGCCAACAGCAGCGACCGTAAGAAGCACTCGCACGTGCACACCAGCGACAAGCCATACACGTGCAAAGTGCGCGGCTGCGACAAGTGCTACACACACCCCAGCTCCCTGCGTAAGCACATGAAGGTTCACGGGCGATCGCCGCCGCCGCCTAGCTCTGGCTACGACTCCGCCACGCCATCCGCTCTCGTGTCACCTTCGTCGGACTTAGGCCGCGAGCCCCTGGTGGCCTCCTCGGCGGCGGTGGCGGCGCGTGGCGACGACTTGAGCGAATGGTACGTGTGTCAAGGCGTTGGCCCTGTCGCGGCTGCCCCTGACGCGCCCCCAAGTCCCACATCACTACCTGCCTCTACCGCTGCCGCTGCCGCCGTCGCCTCCGGTACTCGGGCTGCTGCAGTGGTTATTGCTTCTGCGTCCACAGACCACTAGTCTAGGCTCGGTCACCGAAGCTTGAAGAGAAGGTGAAGAAGGATGGAAGGAAGAGAGGGAGAGAGGGAAGGGGGAGACCACTAATAGTTGTTAGAGCTCTTTGAATATGCTGATAAAATGGTCATGATTTTAAAATATAAATATGGTACTCATATTTATTCTACCATCACACCCAGTACCTTCCACTCACCCACACAGGCACCTTCATGACTGGGTAGCGTGGAACTAGTGTTGGGGTAAAGAAAGTAGAGAGACAGGCAGAAAGAAAAAATATGTATTTGGAGAGTTTATATGCAATCTTGGCAACTGCAGGTGGCAAAACTAAGACCACAAAGTCCTCGTGTGAGTCACAGAATGGGAAATGTTTTGCTCCAGGCCTGGGCCAGTTGGATTGCCACTCTCTCCTCCCCACCTTCCCGCGGGGGCCGCCACCACCACCACCACCACACACACACACACACACACACACACACACACACACACACACGTGCACACTCCCTTCCCAGCTCTCAGTTTGAGCCTCCTTCGAAGTTCAAATCACCTAAGGTGTCAGAGAGAATTTGAGCCATT